CAATATGAGACGCAGATCCCAAGGCGTCATACAGGTGACGCGCGTCTAAATCGGACGCACATGGCATCCTTTAGCATCGATATGAGACGCAGATCCCAAGGCGTCATACAGGTGACGCGCGTCTAAATCGGACGCACATGGCATCCTTTAGCATCAATATGAGACGCAGAACCCAAGGCGTCATACAGGTGACGCGCGTCTAAATCGGACGCACATGGCATCGTTTAGCATCAATATGAGACGCAGATCCCAAGGCGTCATACAGGTGACGCGCGTCTAAATCGGACGCACATGGCATCCTTTAGCATCAATATGAGACGCAGAACCCAAGGCGTCATACAGGTGACGCTCGTCTAAATCCAACGCACATGGCATCCTTTAGCATCAATATGAGACGCAGAACCCAAGGCGTCATACAGGTGACGCTCGTCTAAATCGGACGCACATGGCATCCTTTAGCATCAATATGAGACGCAGAACCCAAGGCGTCATACAGGTGACGCGCGTCTAAATCGGACGCACATGGCATCGTTTAGCATCGATATGAGACGCAGATCCCAAGGCGTCATACAGGTGACGCTCGTCTAAATCCAACGCACATGGCATCCTTTAGCATCAATATGAGACGCAGAACCCAAGGCGTCATACAGGTGACGCTCGTCTAAATCGGACGCACATGGCATCCTTTAGCATCAATATGAGACGCAGATCCCAAGGCGTCATACAGGTGACGCGCGTCTAAATCGGACGCACATGGCATCCTTTAGCATCAATATGAGACGCAGAACCCAAGGCGTCATACAGGTGACGCGCGTCTAAATCGGACGCACATGGCATCGTTTAGCATCAATATGAGACGCAGAACCCAAGGCGTCATACAGGTGACGCGCGTCTAAATCGGACGCACATGGCATCGTTTAGCATCGATATGAGACGCAGATCCCAAGGCTTCATACAGGTGACGCGCGTCTAAATCGGACGCACATGGCATCGTTTAGCATCAATATGAGACGCAGAACCCAAGGCGTCATACAGGTGACGCGCGTCTAAATCGGACGCACATGGCATCGTTTAGCATCAATATGAGACGCAGAACCCAAGGAGTCATACAGGTGACGCGCGTCTAAATCGGACGCACATGGCATCCTTTAGCATCAATATGAGACGCAGATCCCAAGGCGTCATACAGGTGACGCGCGTCTAAATCGGACGCACATGGCATCGTTTAGCATCAATATGAGACGCAGATCCCAAGGCGTCATACAGGTGACGCGCGTCTAAATCGGACGCACATGGCATCGTTTAGCATCGATATGAGACGCAGAACCCAAGGCGTCATACAGGTGACGCGCGTTTAAATCGGACGCACATGGCATCCTTTAGCATCAATATGAGACGCAGATCCCAAGGCGTCATACAGGTGACGCGCGTCTAAATCGGACGCACATGGCATCCTTTAGCATCGATATGAGACGCAGAACCCAAGGCGTCATACAGGTGACGCGCGTCTAAATCGGACGCACATGGCATCCTTTAGCATCAATATGAGACGCAGATCCCAAGGCGTCATACAGGTGACGCGCGTCTAAATCGGACGCACATGGCATCCTTTAGCATCAATATGAGACGCAGATCCCAAGGCGTCATACAGGTGACGCGCGTCTAAATCGGACGCACATGGCATCCTTTAGCATCGATATGAGACGCAGAACCCAAGGCGTCATACAGGTGACGCGCGTCTAAATCGGACGCACATGGCATCCTTTAGCATCAATATGAGACGCAGATCCCAAGGCGTCATACAGGTGACGCGCGTCTAAATCGGACGCACATGGCATCCTTTAGCATCAATATGAGACGCAGATCCCAAGGCGTCATACAGGTGACGCGCGTCTAAATCGGACGCACATGGCATCCTTTAGCATCGATATGAGACGCAGAACCCAAGGCGTCATACAGGTGACGCGCATCTAAATCGGACGCACATGGCATCGTTTAGCATCAATATGAGACGCAGATCCCAAGGCGTCATACAGGTGACGCGCGTCTAAATCGGACGCACATGGCATCCTTTAGCATCAATATGAGACGCAGATCCCAAGGCGTCATACAGGTGACGCGCGTCTAAATCGGACGCACATGGCATCGTTTAGCATCAATATGAGACGCAGATCCCAAGGCGTCATACAGGTGACGCGCGTCTAAATCGGACGCACATGGCATCCTTTAGCATCAATATGAGACGCAGATCCCAAGGCGTCATACAGGTGACGCGCGTCTAAATCGGACGCACATGGCATCCTTTAGCATCGATATGAGACGCAGATCCCAAGGCGTCATACAGGTGACGCGCGTCTAAATCGGACGCACATGGCATCCTTTAGCATCGATATGAGACGCAGAACCCAAGGCGTCATACAGGTGACGCGCATCTAAATCGGACGCACATGGCATCGTTTAGCATCAATATGAGACGCAGATCCCAAGGCGTCATACAGGTGACGCTCGTCTAAATCGGACGCACATGGCATCCTTTAGCATCGATATGAGACGCAGATCCCAAGGCGTCATACAGGTGACGCGCGTCTAAATCGGACGCACATGGCATCCTTTAGCATCAATATGAGACGCAGATCCCAAGGCGTCATACAGGTGACGCGCGTCTAAATCGGACGCACATGGCATCGTTTAGCATCAATATGAGACGCAGATCCCAAGGCGTCATACAGGTGACGCGCGTCTAAATCGGACGCACATGGCATCCTTTAGCATCGATATGAGACGCAGATCCCAAGGCGTCATACAGGTGACGCGCGTCTAAATCGGACGCACATGGCATCCTTTAGCATCAATATGAGACGCAGATCCCAAGGCGTCATACAGGTGACGCGCGTCTAAATCGGACGCACATGGCATCGTTTAGCATCAATATGAGACGCAGAACCCAAGGCGTCATACAGGTGACGCGCGTCTAAATCGGACGCACATGGCATCCTTTAGCATCGATATGAGACGCAGAACCCAAGGCGTCATACAGGTGACGCGCGTCTAAATCGGACGCACATGGCATCCTTTAGCATCAATATGAGACGCAGAACCCAAGGCGTCATACAGGTGACGCGCGTCTAAATCGGACGCACATGGCATCCTTTAGCATCGATATGAGACGCAGAACCCAAGGCGTCATACAGGTGACGCGCGTCTAAATCGGACGCACATGGCATCCTTTAGCATCAATATGAGACGCAGATCCCAAGGCGTCATACAGGTGACGCGCGTCTAAATCGGACGCACATGGCATCGTTTAGCATCAATATGAGACGCAGATCCCAAGGCTTCATACAGGTGACGCTCGTCTAAATCGGACGCACATGGCATCGTTTAGCATCGATATGAGACGCAGAACCCAAGGCGTCATACAGGTGACGCGCGTCTAAATCGGACGCACATGGCATCCTTTAGCATCAATATGAGACGCAGATCCCAAGGCGTCATACAGGTGACGCGCGTCTAAATCGGACGCACATGGCATCCTTTAGCATCAATATGAGACGCAGAACCCAAGGCGTCATACAGGTGACGCGCGTCTAAATCGGACGCACATGGCATCCTTTAGCATCAATATGAGACGCAGATCCCAAGGCGTCATACAGGTGACGCGCGTCTAAATCGGACGCACATGGCATCCTTTAGCATCAATATGAGACGCAGATCCCAAGGCGTCATACAGGTGACGCGCGTCTAAATCGGACGCACATGGCATCCTTTAGCATCAATATGAGACGCAGATCCCAAGGCGTCATACAGGTGACGCTCGTCTAAATCGGACGCACATGGCATCGTTTAGCATCAATATGAGACGCAGATCCCAAGGTGTCATAACCGTACCCTACCCCAGACCTAAACCTACCCATAACAGTGCGTGTTATATTGACGCTAAAGGATCCCATGTGCGTAAGATTTCGACGAAATGTCATATGGCGTCACCTATATTACGCCAAAGGATGCGAATGCGTTGGGAGTTCACATGAACCGTACCCCAGACCACCTTTTTAAGCAGACCCGAGTACGGTTGGCAGGTACGCACCCGAGTTCGGAAGACAGCGTTCACATCATCCAAACGAACCGAACTCTGACGTCATTCGAACCCGGGTGCGCACCAAAAGTGCTAGTGTGAAAGCCCCCTTAGTCTCAACATTTAATGCGTTTTAAAATCAAAGGTTGTATCTGTTCACATTAGTTGATGTACTGTGAACTAACGAAGAACTATAAACATTTTTAAACATTATATTAAAAATAAATTGCTCATTGTTTATGTTAACAAAAAATTAAAAGATTTAAAAGTATGGCCTTTAAGTATGGCCTTAATTTAAGTAATTTAATTTTACTTTTTATTATTATTTCTAATTATTAAATAATCTCTGTCTCCCTGCATAACTTTTATTCTATTTTTAATTATTTTTTATGTTTCTTTTTATTTTTTTGCTCCACAGGAAATATATTCAAATAGAAACAAATATTTAAATATTACTATTTCACAATATTGCTGTTTTCACTGCTTGATCAAACAAATGATGCCTTAATAAGCATAAGAAATATCTTTCAAAAACATTAAAGAAACTTACCAACCGCAAACTTTAGAACGGTAGTGTGTTTTACAAATATATTTATCTGGTATTATTATTATTGACTGAGGAAATGTTACTATTATGATAACCCTATCAAATATGTAGCTTTGTGAATAATTATGAAAGACTATATTAATCAAAACAAATGTACCAAAAGAAAGTGAATAGATTTCCAGACCTCTTCATTAAATTAATTTCCCATAAACCTCACACCCTGCACAAAAACCTTTAAGCTAAATGATATTAGAACTAAGAAACAGCCCACTGTCGACATCTGAGGCCAGTGCGTCACTAATAAATCAAAAACTTCCTGTTCCGCCGACAAATTCAAACCTATGGGATTCATACCTATGGGTGTGTTCATGCATTCACTGCATTGACAGGCATTCCCAGAAAGCCCTGGAGAAGAGGTGAGTTGGATCAAGTTACAGCACAACATTGTCATAGTCAGGAAAACACCTGACAGGGACTGTGGCTCTTCATTCTGTCCAGGGCTGTGACACTGCTATAGCCGTGGCCGTTTGGGAAGAGATATGTGACCCCTTCCTCTGTAAAGTCCACTGACACTGGATCTAATCAGACAGCAGGTGAGTGAACTGTGAGGGTGTTCATGTGCCACTACAGTATTGTGTTTAAAGAGTTACGGTTACACTTTATTTGAAGGTGTTCGTGTTACAGTGTAATTAAGTCCTGAGTAATAATTATATTTACTTAGGGTTAGGGATAGGGATTGGTTTAGGCTTACTTATTGCATTATTTGTAGTTATTACTACATGTAACGTGAAAGAAGTACTGTAAAATAGTGCTACCGAGTTAAATCAAGTTTGTTTATGAGAAAGTATGCTTTTGTATAATGAAGTAAGAAGTTAATGTTATGATTATACACAAGGGGCTTGTGTCTTTATCTAAAATGAGTTCTGAATTGAATCAAACACACGCTGTGGCTTTAAATGTCAATGTTGTTTCAAGCCATTGTTTGTGTGATTGCATTGGCAAAGGGCCGCTGCCAGACGTATTTACATACAGATGCACAGATCTTTTGTCAGTCAAAGCTGTTTGGATTTGTATCTGTGGTTTGTAGAGAGCGTGCTCTAACTTGAAAAACCACACCACTCCCTCTAATGCACAAATTCACTCAATGTTCCTGCTGGGACTGAGCAAGCAAAGTGAAAGTACAACTCAAACAATCCTAAACACACAAGACCTGCCAGTCTGTTTTTTCCTCCAATGGCCTCAGGCTTTAGAGTTTTTAAAGCACAGCGTTTTGAAAGGGTCTGATTGCTAATGACACATTAGCGTGGACGCATCTCTCAAATACCAGAGACTAATGCTGACGAAAAAAACGTGTTTGGACACAGCTGGAACTCATCTGAATAAATATCTTGAGAGGGATACAGCAGTCTTGACTTGAATGTGTTCATGGCTTGAGTGTGTCATCAGTATGTTTTAATGGTGCTTGAAAAAATGTACTTTCTTTGTAGATCGGGTTAGTCGGTTGAAATGAATGCGGGTCAGTCAAACTCTGTTGTTCTAATTGGTGCCGGAAAATCGTGCTCCAGGTGAGTAGTCTTACACACATATATCTTTGTTTTGCTCAGTTTTCATCATTCAAGTTTATTATTGGTTACACTATGGTCCACTTCTACTATCTATAAGTAACCTTGCAACTACATGTCAACTAACTCTCATTGAGTATTAATAGACTGTTAGGGTTAGGTGTTTGGGTTTGTAGAATAGGTTGACATGTAGTCAACCAATGAATGTCTAAAGTGGAGTATGGAGTACAAGTATCTTTCTTACTGATTTCTTTTCTGGATTCAAAGGGCTCAGTTTTCCTCTTTATTGAACACCTACAACTGCTTTCTTAAAGACACAACACACCTGCAGCTCACTGTCTATGAGGTAAATCATCATACCTTTATGTAGATAATGCATTCATTACATTACTAATGCTCAAGTAATACATGTGAGACAAGTTTGACCATTCTAGAGGGTATTTGACTGTACCATGTGGTTTTGCACCTGTGTGTGGACTTTGGGCCTATGATCATAATTTGCCATAAACAGCATTGCCCTGCCCTCTGCTGGGACAGAACAGAATAGCAGATCAGTAATGGCCGTGCCATGTCTGCTTTTATAGAATGAAGGGAAGGTGACATTTGAGGGCATCCTTGGCATTTCCTGGGGTGTGAAGAAACCCATTCAGTTACAAATACAAGATGAGAAACCGATATTTACAAATGAGTCGTCAGTCAAGTCACCAGACCCCATGAGTCCACTCGGAAATAAAAGGTACATTGCATTCCATTATTTATGTGTAAAAACCAGTGGTGTGTTGCATGTGACATCTTTTCAGTTAAAGGGAAAAGCTGTAAAAAAAAAAAAAGGCTAAGATGTTCTGGTCTATTTAAAGGAATATTTCAGGTTCAATGAAGCCTAAACTCTTATTGACAATATCAGTGGCCTGGAAAGTTGACTCCTGTACTGTACAATGGATCTATATGGGGCCAGAGTTTAAATTTGGCATGAAACATACATTGCAATAGTCTTTTCTTCTCTAATGTGCCGTATATCCGAGTGAAACTGATTCTCAGACAAGAAAAACTTGATTTTGGAATTGATTGAATGGTTGTGGTTTGCGATTGGTGGATCTCATGTGAGTGACAGGTTGCTCCGCCCTCACGCCAGTAAACACATCATCAAAGAAGAGATGCTGCAAGAGGGAAGGGGAGTGATTTTGATTAAAGACTACGAGGCACATGAATTGAAAATGATTTATACTACTGTAATATTTCATTAAAAAAATAAGAATTGTCCATTTTGAGTTCATGGTAACCCATGAAAAGACCCCATGAAACCAAGTGATGCTGTGTTGATGTATTTTCTACTGAAACAAATATGGAATGGGACATAATCTCTAGCCTTTAGTTTTAGTTTGCATTTGGATTACATCATAAACATGATTTGCTTCTTGTATGTGGAATTAGGGGAGGAACATTCTCATCCAATAGAGAGCATTTGATTGAACAACATTTGGATAAGCATTTGATGAGTCGTCAATATTTTTTTGGTTTATTTCCAGAAAGAGAATGACTATAACCTTTAAAATATCTGCCAAACATTACTCATATGTAAATGAGTATATGAATATAAATAAGTACGTAATAATTTAATATCCTTAAGGGATAGTTCACCCAAAAAATAAAAAATTGTCATCATTTACTCACCCTCAAGTTGTTCCAAACCTGTACAAGTTTCTTTTTTCTGTTAGATATTGTATTATTAGATATTTTAAAGAATTCTGGTAACTAGACCCCACTGATGGACCCCATTGACTTCCATAGTAGAAACAGAAATACTATGAAAGTCAATGAGGTCCATCAATTGCCTGGTTTCCAACATTCTTCAAAATATCTATTTTCAACAGAAGAAAGAGATCATACAGGTTTGGAACAACTTGAGAGTAAATGATGACAGAATTATCACTTTTGAATGAAATTTACATGATGAAAATAAACTCTTGTCAGTTTTTTTTAATCAAACAAGAGTTGTTTGCTTTTAAAAAGCAAGTCATTAAATACTTATAACATGAATTAAGTTCAATCATTATTGAATCAGAATTCACAGCACAATCTTGTAGTCCAATTTTGAACAGAACAGAACTAACTAAACAATGAGTTTATCTACAGTGGGAAGATAAGGTTTGAACATGTAAGTCTGAATAAAAAAATGGCTGAGGAAAGATTATAACAGGAAGCCAGTGGACACAAAACAAACTTTCTGTCTTAGATGAGATTAAGCCATTTGTACAGTCTCAACATGACAAAATGACCTAGAAATCATTGTTAAAGATTTTGTCTTTTTATGCTTTATCATTAGAGTACATGCTTGTGATTTAATAAAATGTCATGTTCCATTAGGGGTATGACACGATGGGGAGAATTTGATGATCTTCGTATTGATGAACTGGAGGAAGCTGAATCCACGAAACCTGAACATCCTACTCAAGGTTCTTATACTTGTGTTACAAGTGCACTCAGTATAGAGTGCATTAGCGCCCCCACACTTTTTCAGCGGCACTGGTTCTGGAAGTATTTTTTCCAGAATTTTTTCCCCATTGGGATTTTAAAGTTTTCGTTAAAGAGTTCAAAGCCATGAACCAGTTACGAACAAGTGAATCACATCTAGCTACAAACTTTGATTTGAAGCAGTATTTAAAATGCGAATCAAAATACAAAGGTACAAGACTGTGAACTTTACGGCTTTATGAGGGAAAGAACTACAATCCCATGAAGCATTGCAAACAGCATAATTTAATTAAAAACGATGGAGAAATATAAAATTACTCAACCACAAATGTTGAAACAATATATTTTAAGATTATTGCAAAATATGCTTAAATACAAACAGTATTTAAGTATTTTGAGAGCGAATGGAGATCGATTCGATTAAGACATTTGCAGTGATTTATGGGAGTGGGCGGAGCTAACAAGATCTTTTTCCACATGTTGCTTTTTTCTATGGAGAAAACAAATGGAGTTTTTACTTTACTGTTGCGCTCTATTTGATAACAGTGGAATTAGCACTATGGCAACATGTGTTTGTAAACACACGTTTTCTTAAAGAAAATACATATAACGAACAACAGTATAATTAGGCCTACTTAATATCATGCAGTTTGATTTCTGCATTAAAAATGGCATTACACCTTTAATTAACTAAATCTCTCTTTAAGGCTACATCGCATACGAGAGCAAGACTTTAAGGCCTTCCCGGGCTGTGCCTACCATTGAAGAAAGTTCATATCTGACCCGTACCGTGAGTGATGCCTCGCTGGTGAAAATGAGGGTGAAAAGTAAGAAGATGGTAGAAAGTCAGAGGAACAGAAATAATCGCTTCTCCATCAATGGACACTTCTACAACTACAAGGTCTGTACCTTTTCTACCATGACCAACATTGAAGCCAGATGTAAATTATCAATAATATTGTTAGTATTATTGCTTTGATAGGTATGTTTTAACTTTTGAAATACACATAATTAATACATAAATCTGTAAAAGTCCAAAGGGGAATATGTTTTGTGAACTTTTTAACTTCAAATTTGAACTTGTACTAGCATCAACGTATTTCACCATGATTGTCGAGTTTTATGTAAATCTGCTTTGGTTGAATCAATGTTGAAATAGGCCTATGTTTCAATTTTGCTAATTAAATCAAAGTTGGCATTGCAACGTTGTTTCAACGTCTTGCCTTTCAACATGGGTGCAATAAGGTCTTGTATCAACTTTGAATTAACATTGAATGCTTCATTTAGTATATGCGGACTCATGAATATGCAAATTAGCCCCACCTCCATGCAATCACACAAGCTCAGAATACCCAATTCACTTGGTCCACTTTACTGTAGAAAAAGCTGCACAATGGCAAGTAGAAATACTGGTTTAAATCAGCCATGTATGTTTGAACCAGAAACTGATTCAGAAGTAGTGGAAGAGTGAATTACAGGCTCGTATACAAGTCAATGCATCAGAATGGTAATGTGTTTTATGTATTGCTCTATACAGCATCGGGCACATCACAGTAATGAAAATGATTAGCCTTTTGCTTGACTACGTTATCAAACATCTAATAATGTGTTGATGTTACACAAACCATGATCCCATTCACCATCCCAGGTTCAGACAGCTGCCTTCTAAATATCAGTATCCTTAGAAACGCTTTGAACAACTTAGAACGTCAGTGGAGAAAGGCATTTAGTTTATTATAACATTGTAAAATACATCATATACATAATTTACCCACTATATTGCTAAATGTACCTGATTTTTCATATTAACAGAAAAATATACCAAGATAATGTCTCAGGTTACTTGACTGTAACCCTGTTCCCTGAAAAAGCGGGAACAAGATGCTGCGCTCATAGCGCTATGGGAAAACATTTTGTTTGACCAGTTGTGAGTGTGTGGCAAACACGCCAAGGAAGCTTGGGATAACTCAAGCAGCATGAGCATACAAGCTATACAATCTGATGAATGTGTACGGAGAGGACCCTTGCTAAAGCTTTTGGAGGAAGCAACTCCCCTGGTAGAATGAGCCCTAACTCCTAGAGGGGAAGCTTGACCCCACATCTTGTATGCTAGGGTAATAGTATCCCTCACCCAGTGTGACATTGTTTGCTTAGTGGAGGCCGCCCCCAGGTTACGACACCCATAGCAAATGAAGAGTTGCTCTGACTTAAACCACTGGCTAGTGCGGTGGACGTAAGTCTGAAGAGCACGTATTAAACACATTCGGTCAAGTTTCTCCTGCTTCTGTGTAGTGAAAGGCGGAGGACAGAAAGCTTTAAGAATGACCCGGATGCATAGTCGAGAATGGAACTTTAGGTAGATAATGAGAGTGAGGAGGCAAAATAGCTTTGACCATTCCGGGGGCAAAGTCTACCCAGGATGGTGAGGTCGACAGAGCTTGCAAACCCCCAATTCTTTAGTGAAGTAATAACCATGAGGAAATCTTTAGGGTCTAGAGGTTCAAATGGGGTCTCGACCAGACCCTTGAGGACTATGGCTAAATCCCACGAAGGGATCATTGCTCTAACGGCAGGTCTCAGTCGCCTGGCCCCACGAATGAAACGGGTGATCAGAGGGTGCTTCCTGACTGGCACCCCGTTAATCAGGGCGTTGCAAGCCAATATGGCGGCCACAAAAACCCTGAGAGTGGCAGGGCATGTGCCTGCTGATAATTTCTCCTGCAAAAACTTCAGTACTGAAACAATCTAGCAGAGGACTGGGTCAGAACGGCGTGCAGTGCACCACCTTTCAAAGACACCCTATTTAGTGGAATAGATTCTTCTTGTGGAGGGAGCCCTAGCACTGAGATTAGTCTGTACAACGTCAGCTGGAAGCCCAGCGTCCCTCAATTGGTCTCCCTCAGTGGCCAAACATGAAGGTTTCACAGCTCGGGCCGGGGATGAAATGCCTGAGGGTTCCTCCTGTTCGATAATTGCATTGTCTCTTGAGATGTGAAGAGGTTCACTTCTGCTTCGTAGAATCTTTCCCATACCTGTTTGACTATCTTGGGGTGGAGTTTGTGTTTGTGTCGGGGTGAAATCAATGTTTCCTCCAAAGCGGCTGTATAGATAAAGGAACTAAATTAATCACTTTTTAAGAACAAAAATTAACCCAGGGCTCCCACACCTTTGTTAACTTCAAATTCAAGGACCTTTCAAGGACTTTTCAGGTCCAATACCCTCAAATTCAAGGACTTAATGTGGGGACACATTTCACGTGAGAACAAGGTTACATCGTGTTACCTTGTAAGATACATTGTTACAGTTTGGCGTGCATGAACGTCATGGCAACGTACAACACAAAGTACCTCATGCAGGAAACACTTAACGCAACACGTAAATGCATGTAACTAACATAAATCAAGCAAACTAGTATGCATAGGCCACGATGGGTTGACGAAATAACATTAGCGGACCGGAGGGAATGTGGAATATTTTACAGAAAACTTCTTGCACAAAATAATTTCAAGCACTTTAAGGGCCTGTATCTATGTATGTTTATTTTCAAAAACTTTCCAGGGGCTAGAAATCTTTTTTTCATATTCACAAACTTTAAAGGATTTCAAGGACCCGTGGGAACCCTGTGAACCATCACTGAACTTAAGCTGGACTATCAAAATACTTTCTTCTAGATCTGCTGCATAGCTGAAACAAACTTTGTTGCATTATTTTTCTGTTATCACTATAAAGCTGCTTTGAAACAATCTGTATAGTGTAAAAAGCACTATATAAATAAAGGTGACGACTTGGAGTTTCCATTCCCCTTTTGTCACAGCCTGTCTAGATAATAAATCTGCTCCCACATTCAAATGTCCAGGAATGTAAATCACCCTGAAGGACAGAAACTTGTCCCCAAAGCAGAACCTGCGGGGCTAGCCTGTTCAGACGACAAGAACACAGTTTAAGTAGACTACCGTAGTGTTGACCACCTGCACTAGGATATTGTAGCCCCTTAACTGCTTGAGGAAGTCCTTCAGGGCCAGAAATCAGAGATGCTCACGAGTCTCTGAACTAGAGTCCAAGTCAAGTCTCAAGTCTTTGAGCTAGAGTCCAAGTCAAGTCTCAAGTCTTTGAGCTAGAGTCCAAGTCAAGTCTCAAGTCTCTGAACTAGAGTCCAAGTCAAGTCTCAAGTCTCTTGTGGTTATAATAAGTGTTGCATCACGTACAGCGACCCATCCAGGCTGCTTAGAACACTTCATAGCTATATATAAGGAATTCAAAGCATGTAATGTTATTATGACTCCTTTATCTATTAGCATACAGTATCAGCTTTGATTTAGGTATATAATCAGTGTAAACAGGCTATTTCAACATTACAAAAACACCAAGAATGCTTTACTTTTAAGTTAATATCTGCATCTGTAAAAATTGAGGTTCTGAAGAAAAAGGACTCTCATGTCTGTTGCTGAATTATAATGAAAGGCCTTGGCTCCTATTGTGCTGGCTCTGTGGAGCTGGAGCCATAAGACCAAATATAGAAAATGTTATAGCCTACCTCACAGCACTAAAATTTGGCACATAGTGTAAAACATCACAGTGTAGCTAAATGCAAAACACTATTGCATAGCTGTCAACATTTAACATTGAATATAAGGGAGATTTCCCGGAATCCATCCCCAAAATAAAGGATTTTTTTGACATAATTCTTACCCACAAACTTTACAAATAAAGCACTAATCATTAAAAGTCTAAAGAGTTTATAACTACATATGAGTGAGAGAGAAAGAGAGAGTGTGTGTGTGTGTGTGTGTGTGTGTGTGTGTGTGTGTGTGTGTGTGTGTGTGTGTGTGTGTGTGTGTGTGTGTGTGTGTGTGTGTGTGTGTGTATGAGAGAAAGAAACAGTGTGTCATTTTTTTTAACATTTTTTATCAGAGAATGTTTAAATACTAATATCAGCTTACGAGGGAAACGGTGGTGCTTCGGGGGCTGCTGGAGATGATTAGGGAGAGGTCTGTGCTCCTTTACTGATCAAAGCGTGCGGCGCGCGCTGACACCATAGACTGTAAAAAATAGGCTCACACCGAGTAAAGCCTTGTTTATACTCGACGCGTCCGCACGAGCGCGGCAAAAATTACGCGCTGGGTGCGCAAGACCCCATTTCGCTTGGCTGTGTGCACAGCTTTTTTTGTAACAGCGCGCGCGGCGCCGCATCCGGGGATGAACGACTTCAAGCCGAATCTGCCCGAGCTTGTACGTCTCACACAATCAGAGCGTAAAAATACGGGATATTTTACGGGAAAATACTAAAACGGGAAGACAGCGGGAAAAGAGCTAAAATACGTGAGAAACTCGGAAAAAACGGGAGGGTTGACAGCTATGCACTATTGGAACCAAATTATGTGAAATACATAGTTGCGGCCCGCCACAATATCAACACTGACTGACCACCACACATTGATTTTCGATTTTTTATTTTATTTTTACTAAGCCTATTTAAAATCGTATTTGATTGCAGAGCGCCGTAGCGCATTCGCGCCGCACTACCTCTCGCACGTCTCTCTCTCTCTCTCTCTCTCTCTCTCTCTCTCTCTCTCTCTCTCTCTCTCTCGTTCACCCATACCTCTCGCGCTCTCTCTCCCTCATGGAACACCATGAGGTGCACGCGCGCGCAGATACCGTATATTTTGCATTGAGCGCTTCTTTTATTTGGCCCGTCTTGTTTGAAGTTTTTAAACCCAAAGCTTACGATGAATGGCACAGCAGCGGCCGGTGCAGTCGACATGTTTGTTTGTTGTCCTCTCATGTGTGGCCACGCGCACGTACAGGCAGATTTTAGGTAACGGATCGGAGGGAGGGGAATAACAGAGAGCTCATCAGACGTTTCCTAAAAATAAACATTGTTCACGAGTCCCGCAGCTCGAGTCCGAGTCGAGTCTGAAGTCTTTCGAGGACGAGTATCAAGTCGAGTCTGAAGTCACTGTGTGTGCGACTTAAGTCGCACTCGAGTCCGAGTCTCAAACTCGAGTCCCCATCTCTGCCAGAAATACAGCCATCAACTTGAGACAATTGATGTGCCAATCGAGATGGCCACTCCAGTCCCTGGGACTGGACGGCCATCTAAGACCGCTCCCCAGCCCGTACGGGATGCGTCTGTCATTAGCATTTTGCGATTACAAGACGAGGGTGGGAACCAAGGATGGGTTAGGGTTAGGGTAGGGTTAGCGCTTTGAGTGTCCAGAAAAGCGTTATATAAATGTGATTAATTATTATTATTATTATAAGGATAGGAACTGGGATCTGAGCCACATAGAACGGGTGATGAAGCCCGCGGCGCATAAACCTTATTTGTCTTTGAGGATCAGCCCTCGAATGAAATCCCCTGGCTTTGAGCCACAATTGAAACAGTCTTATGTGCAAAAGGCCAATAGCTATCACAATGGATGCAGCTGCCATAAGACCTACAAATCTTTGAAAGTGATGCAGAGTAATTTCCTTACCAAGCCTGCTATCACTCAGGGTGTGTAAAATGGTCTTGAAATGTGCGGGATACAGTTGTGTGTGACCACAAGGTGACCGATTGCGAGTACGTTTTCCTCTGGGCAGGAGAGAGAATGCATTTCTTGACGCTGAGTCACAACCCCAGAGAAACCAGATGAGTGAGGACGACATTACGATGTCGAATCGCAGCGGAGCAAGAGCTGCATCCATGCATTTTGTGTATGTGTGGGCTGACAAGGCTAGGCCGAATGGATGAACCCAATATTGGTAAGCTTTGCCCCTGAAAGCAAACCTCAGGAACTTCCTATGTTGTGGCAGAATTTCACGATCTCAATGTAGGAGCTTGCCCTTGAAAATATGTGAGACAAGTCGAGGCACTTTAACAGTGAGCAATTCACTGGCGGCAGTTTAGGGTTTAGCTGCTCACGACGAGCTGGATGGCGCCTTGCATGGCTGCCGTCGCCCGTCGGTGTGTGAATGAGTGAGTGAATGGGTGAATGTGAGGCAAATGTAAAGCGCTTTGGTGGCCATTGGGTCTGTGAAAGCGCTATATAAATGCAGTCCATTTACCATTTACCAATTCACAGGGCTCACACTCGCCATGCTCAAATTTAAGAGGAGTATACTCAAAGCAAAAGTCATGCATCTCGTACTCTGGTACTCTGGGATGGGGCCTTAACAAGCAGGGGTGAATGGCCTAATGTTTTCCTCATTTTTTTCACACTTGAGAATTTTTTGCACACTGACAGCTGGAACTCTAACTCCAAACAAAGTGAATAGACAGAAAGTTTGTAGCACACACAATGCGGTCTCTGAAGACATAGAAACCTGAAGGCGCTCCTGTTTAACATCCACATTGACGTGATTGGTTACAACGTAGTTTGAGACGTAGAGAACAAGGGCGATTTCAAACTACGTTTTTGAGACATATATGAGTTTATATTTCACAATTCTGAGAAATTTAATATAGTATTTTGTATAGTCAAAAATTGTATTGTCTTCATTAAACAATTTTTCTGTCAGGACCACTATCGTCAAATACGATTGACAATTAGCATACAATTAGGATTGGCCGGTTTTGTTCTATCCTGGGCAAGAACTCCCATGCGCATCCATTCTACCTAGCATGGATAAGAGCAGCAATAACCCCCCTTAGGCCCCGATCACACCAAAAGCCTTTTTTGAATTGTTTTCCTATGGCAGTTGTAGTGATGAAAGCTACAGTTGCTTTGAACACCCGGAGAGTGTGATGATGGGGGATAAACTTGTGGTGCTCTCGCGGGTTACCAGGAGCTTAACGACTTCACGAACCGTAACTACCACAATGTTAACAGAAAGTAAACAAAGTTAATAAAAGGCTGATTTGACGTTTACTTGACTGACTGCTCGTTCTGTGCTATCGCGGTAGTGCTGTGCGCCTCACATTTTCGAAACTGGTCTTGTAAGCAGACCAACTATTTAAATGAAAAGTTCCCCCATTAATGAAAAGTCATTACTAATTCACCCTTATGTACAAATTTCTTTCTTCTATGAATACAAAGGGGGAAGATTGTGCTTGTTTTGTGAGCCTTTTTATAGCATTCTGGTTTATTTTGTTTATGCAGACATCTATTTTCACACCATCATATGGAGCAACCACAAATGTGCACATTACCAGCAAGATGACAACACAAGAAGTCATTACACAGCTCCTTCAGAAATTTAAAGTAGGTATTATTTTTACTACTGGCAATTCAATACATAACCCACTTAAAATTTTGCTAAGTCATTTCAGCCATTTTGTTGTACTTGACTCATGATTTCCAACCTTAATTTTGATAGACAAATTCACACATTTTTTTTTTAATGCAGGTAGAAAACAGTCCAAATGAATTTGCTCTCTACTGCATTCATCAAAGTGGAGGTAATTATTGATTCAGTTGAATGTTTTCAACCTCAATTTATTCCAAAACATTTTCAAAAAAAAAAAATTCACAAGGAACAAACTAGTTTTAAATCTTAATTTACTTCTAATTGTGGGAGTAGTTTCTTTTATAATTATAATATACCCCCCCCCCCCCCCCCACACACAATTTTTTTATCCATATTTGGTAAGAATTATGTCATCATTCATCCAACATTTGTTCCAAGATTCTCTTTCCTAGAGTTTAGACTTTGCTGACATTCACAGAATCACATTTCTGATTGTTAAATCCATTGTTGGTAGAGAAACGAAGGTTGAGCAGTTCAGACCTGCCACTGTGGGAACGTGTTCTACAGGGACCATCAAACAGAATTATGAAAATGTTCCTCATGGATGCAGACGAACAGGAAGTTAGCCTTGATGTAAGACTAGCTCTCCAGACATGACAGAAATGTGTATTTCCAACTCAAATAAAGTTAAACTAATGTCCTGTTCCCACTGCTTTAACAGGTAGCCCAGTACCTCAATTTAGAGATGCCCATTTTGAGAGTAATTCTGCAGAAGCTGGAAGAGCAAGAGCATCAAGAAGAACAAAGAATAATCGCAAAGTAAGAAAAACAAAATGTGCTTTTTCCAATGACTTTAGTTTTGCCTGATAAGCTTACGTGTGTTTTTTTCTTACAGGTATGAAATGGAACGGAATCTGTTGTCGCAGTGCTTGAAAAAAACGATGCCGGTCAAAACCGAGACAACTGTATAAATGAAGTCTTGGCAATGGAAAACTGTTTTCCACATGAAGTCTCAGGGTACAAAGAGAAAATAAGATGGAAACTGGAGTCTTCAGGACAGAAATCAGGATTGTGAGATGTTCAAAAGTGCATATAGGCCATTTGAAACATGGCTTTACTGTTAAGTTTGTGGTTGTAGTGTAAATATAATGTAAAATAGTTTTTACATAAATGTAATTACAATATTTATCATGCGAGAAACCAAATAAAATACTGGTATTTGATTTGCAGTTTATTTGTGTATTCATTATAGCTCTATTGCTATACTGTGGTTTCCTCTCAAGATTGTATTCTTGGAAATGTAAAAAAAAAAAAAAAAGGTTTGCAAAATGACTTCATAAGTTCCAACTGGCTTACCGTAGAATTCTGGAAAACATCTCTCAACAGCAGATTCTAAACTTAACTTTAAAACCCTTCTTGGGAAAATGATGTACTTAAAATCACATATCATTTTGTCATTACATAATTTGTTTTTGAATAGTTTACATACATACTGATCTCACTTCACTATAAAATTCTCACCTTTTATAAAAAAGCTTAAGTATTTTAGGTACTTAACAAAATATAAAATTCCTTTCAAAGGGAGTTTTTTTTTAATCCACATTATAAGTTTTTACAAAAGTTATCCATTCTACATTAGCTATATATCAGGAAAAAAAATCGTTTATGTTAAGAAAAAGAACGTGTGGTCTGGTCAACTATCCAAAAGTGCAAAACTGTGGCAGCTTGGTGTCCATGTGAAATTCAAGAGGATCTTCTGCAGATCATCTTCTGCACCTTGTGGTCATCATTCATTGTGTTAAGGGTTACCTCAAACTTGCATGCCAGTTGCTAAAAAGAAAAGTAAAAAATACGAAAAGTACAGTAACGATATATGCATTTTTGTTACACTGGCAACAATCAACTAAAAATGTAGTATATAAAAAAGAAATTACCTTTTTTGCCATTCCACAAGCCTCAATATTTGCATCATCTGATTTGCGGCATTTTGTCTTTCCAATAGTGGCCTCTATTTTGTAGTTGATCATATTTGTTACCTGCACAGAAACGTTCACTCTCTGTTATTCAATGTTGATTAGTACACAAAATATACACATATGCACAGTATAAAACTATGAAATCTGTACCTGAGTGCGAGCCGATGTGATATTGATAAGTTTGAAGTATTTCTTTGCTTTGGACTTCGTGTTGAATGCCTCTACAGCTTCTTTAGCAGCTTCTTGAACATCTTCCCTCTCTGGGTTGGCGTCGATCCAGCCACCGAGAAGCTCCACATTTCCTGTGAGACACGGGAATATTAATGACAGCACTTGGTTTTGAAGAAATGTATTTGCATTGTTTGTGTTCACGAAAAACTTGCACTTTACTTCAAATGATAACAACAAAGATGGTTTATTTATCCATGTTGCAATATGGTACCTTTTTTTTTTTTTTTTTTTTTTAGATATGAAATGTATATTCTGTGAAGTATTCAAAATTGAGACTTTTTATCTCACAATTCTGACTTTTTTTCCTCATAATTACAAGTTTAGGCTAACTTACATCTCGCATCTGCGACTTAGGCTAATCTCTCAATAATAATTACACAGTAGCCTATAAAAAGCTATACCCTGGATATCCTATTTGTTATGACAGTTTCAAATTCTGATATTTAAAATATTCACATTTAATGCAGACGACAATAAAAAACACGGTCAACATTTCAAATTTTGTAAATAATCCAATGTAATAAGAACAATAAGCTTAGCCTACTTGCGACAACGATTGTTTCCTCCAAAGGCTGGTCAGCAGTGCTGAAGTGAAACACAGAGAGAAAAGACACGAGGAGAAGAAAGTAGACATCCATGGCTTCGGCTGCGTGATCTCTGAGAGAATGATCCAGGGAATGAGGAGATTCCTGCCATGTAGACACGGAATGCGTGACGCGTCCTGGTGCCGCTCGCGCCGTTCCCGCCCGTGAGGGTGGAGTTCGTGTGACGCCCACTGATATGAGCCTGCAAGGGTGAAGTGTGTGTGTGTGTGTGTCTGTCTGTCTGTCTGTCTTAGGCCAGAAAATGAGGAAATAAATGGTAATCTTCTTACGCCGTAAGCTGCCGGTCTGCTGTCAGTAGGCTACTTAGACAGCTTTTCGGCATGTAATTTAACTTCCTGTTACTTACAGGTGAAGCTTACAAATACTTTAACCACACTTGAGAGCAAACGTCACTGCTTATTTATTCCTACTGCATGCAACTGCATCTGATTAACGTTTCACTTCTTTTTGGGCATTGATTTATTATTGACTTAGGCTATTTGTATTATTTTTCTGACATGCCCTCGTTTAAATTCAGGTCTTTTCATGGAGATACTAAGAATAATATGTAGCCTATATTTTGCATTTGTACAATCAATTGCAGCATATGTGATTTTTTTTTTTTTTTTTTTTTTTTTTTTATGAATAGGCTATATAAAAAAAGTAAACAAATCAATTCACTCATGTTCTCTGTTGGGTGAATTTATTGATGCGTCATTATAACAAATTACAGGCTATATATATGTATATATATATATATATATATATATATATATATATGTGTGTGTGTGTGTGTGTGTGTGTATGTATATATATAGCCTATATAGCCTATATATATTGTTGATTATGGGTGACATTGTTTAAAATATTTGTATTTAATTACATTTGCTTACATATTTTTATATTATAGATATGGATGCAGACACTCTATTTGTACAATGTTTGTACAGTTTGTACGAAGTTTGGGTTGATGTTAAGTAGTTGAGTTAAATTGTTAAGTTTAGATTTCTGTGTCAACGGGCTAAAACATTTAATTTTATGAATTGGTCTTTAATCAACATTAAAGTACCTTGCATACAACAATCATATAATATAGAAACATTTTATATCAGTATTACATATGTTGTAGATTAAAATTGAAACTAAACTACAACTTTTAACATTTAATTATGAATGAAAAAGTTAAGTTTAGCATATATAGTGTCTAATATGGTGCCCTCTTATAATTTCTTCAAATAAAAAATACATTCTAAATCCCAAACATGTTTTGCTGGTCCCAGGAGGATAATCAGTCATTTGTCCTGAACAGTGACGTGCAAATACCTCTCGCCAAGGCCACATTTAAAAACAAAACAATCTAGAACATGAGCTACAAAAATCACACCCACACTGCCAAACAAAAGCCCAGACAAAACAATCAGCCCAGAGTCACATGGACATGCTGACAGAGCGCAACAAATACACACACACACACACACACACACATATATATATATATATATATATATATATATATATGAATAATCTCTCTCTCTGTCTATATATATATATATAGATATAAATATCACCAGTGCTTTATAAAATACTATTATTCATTCCATCGTCTATAGGCAGTTCCATTTTGCCATCTTTACAATAATCTCTACAGCACTTTTTAGTGGCAATGTCATAGTTCAGTTATCTCATCTGGCCTTAGCTCATGTCTGTATGTGACTGCATTTCGGACCAGTGATGACACACAGCCTTTGTAATTACAATGTGTGATGTACTATGGTATTATATTCATTGCGTAATATGTATATAGTTTGATTTGAATGGTTTACACCCATTAGAAACAAATGGTTACAAAGATTTGTGCTTATCAGGCCCAAAGATTTTACTTTGTCAGGGAAATATTAGGGAGTAAATGGGAAACTCATCCTCTAAGATCAATTATGTCACCAAGTATATCAGATGAATATACAGTCTCTTTTATAAGGACTATGATAACCTCAGTTAACCCTGTCATGTTGGTCAGTCGCAGTGATAAGCTAAGCTCAATGCTGTTAAAATGCTCTTCTGTTCTACAAGCTTCTTTAAGGACTTGAACTGACGATGAACTATTAAAACCCCTCTGACATACGCAGACTGATTTGCATGTGTATTTAGGTTAATGATAAACAGAAAGCTTTAAAAAGTGACACGATCAAATACTGCATATATTTCCAAGTGTATGTACAATGGGTGCCTATATGTATAGTGTTATAGGATACTTGTGTTTAGAACAGGTCTTTCTGATTCTGATCAGAACCGAAACAGTGTGTAATGAACAGCGTTGATGTATTTTGCTGTAGTCTGAAAGGATGTACTTATAGTTTTAGACAAATCAATCCATTTTACAGTTTATAATAATCATGACTGAAACAAAGTCCTAATCTATAATGTACATTAAATTCAATGTGAAATGCTGTACAAATTGCCCAGTTCTATTATCAAACAAACGTTTCGCCAATAGATGGCAGCATATTTGTTTTCATTTTACATACATGGACATTTCAGTTCATAAAATTGCATTTATAACAACATACAGTAACATTACAATAAAGATGCACTCCAACCACTGACAATATATAGGCTAAATCCAGCTAAGTGATGCTTGAGGGTCTAAACGTGGATCAATAGGCTGTTGGTCCACCAACACTACCTGTTGCAAAATGAACCTTTGGTCTAATTACACATTGTTACCTATTCAACCGTTATCTGAGATTTGTTTTCACGATTATCGAATGTAAATAGTTTTATCTCTAAAAACAGTTTAGCCTTTAACGCTAGTATAACGCTAGTATGTAGGGCATAGAGTAATGACAAATAAAAATCGCTAGTTAATACCACTAACAAGGCTCAAAATAGCCCCACACTAACACGGTAGCATAATGAGGGTCCCTACCTTCAAACTGAAGCATTGAGAACTTTGTCAGTGTCCAGACAGTTTAATATGAAGATATTTTTTACATACAGTCATACATACATACATACATACATGGCAGAAGCCATCTTTGAAAAACAGTCTCTACCAGTCGATCTACGAACGCCGATCCAAGCCTGCTTTTCGCGCTCACCTTATCACAACTTATAGCTCGTTCACATCTCACCAGCGCACTTGGATCGGCGTTCGTAGATCGACTGGTAGAGACTGTTTTTCAAAGATGGCTTCTGCCTGTATACGCGAAGTTGACTGTATGTATAAAATATCTTCTTATTAAACTGTCTAAAACTATTTACATTCGATAATCATGAAAACAAATCTCAGATAACGGTTGACTAGGTTACAATGTGTAATTAGACCAAAGGTTCATTTTGCGCCGGAGTTCTCCTTTAAGCAGAACTCACTCTTTTCTTGTGTTGCTAGAGGGGAGAAAAGTGGTGACGATTTACACTATTTCAACCAACAACCTGCACCGGACCCCGGATACCCTACCCACAGCCCCACCAATATGAAGTATTAAACCTCAAATATATCTGGTGTGACGGTTGAACCCTCGCCAGGCCTGGTGGGCATTAGGCGCATTCACAAGATTGATAACTAGATAACTAGCTTTAAAGATAACTATAGCGATAACTATCGTCCACACCAGCGGGCGATATTGTTGTTTATTATAAGCGCGTGCTTGTCTGTCACTTTAAATGCTCAAGCTCTTTAAAGCAGGATGGATTCTGATTGGTTGTCAATGTTTTTATCATTCTTCAGCTAGAAAAAAAAAAAGTTCTGAAAGTGATTCCAACGATATTGTTTCTCTGTGCCGTTATCGTTATAGCTGTGGTGTGGACTGCTATTTAATATTTAGTATGATTTTTAGATCTATATCTTTATCGTTACCATTATAGTTATCGACCTTGGGGTGAACAGGCTTTCATTCTCGTTTCCATCAGACTTATGGAGTTAGTATTGTTCCATTATAGATTATGATCCACAAGAGATTTAAAAAAATGTTTCAAAAAGTCCACAAATATCTGCGGTGATCCACAAGTAGTGAATGCCAGGCCGAGTTTTGTTTGTGACATAAAAACATATTTCTTTTTATTTGGAATAATGGAACAATTCTAACCCCACACTCGCTCCTCCGTGACTGTTATTTGTGGCCTTGTATGTCTGAGGAAGTTCAGTGCTGCCCTGAATATGCAATCTTGAAGTCTCCTCGCCACCTTCCAATGAGCAAGCTCTCTCTGTTGCCTGTCCCACATCACCCCTGGTCACACAGGGCCGTAGCTACGGCACCCGGGTTGTTGCTGTTGGCTCCCCTCCGGGTGGGGAGTCCCCATATGTCTGAAAAGACTGCCTACTCTAGAGGCCACAGAAGTGCTATTCTGTCATTAGGGGCTTTCGCGCCGGGGGTAGTTCTAGGAACTAGACACCAGGGTGGTTTCCTGAGAACTAATGGTTCCTGTTGCATTCGCACCGACAGTAGAAACTCTGAAGTGACGTAAGCCGCGCTTGTTGTTGCGACTTTTATCTTGACGCGGCAGACCTTTATTTTGATGCCGTTGAGAACGCCAGAGCCTGATCTGACAGTGCTCACATTCTCCGTGTTCATTAATTTACGATCTATCTAGCAGTCCTGTCTAATACGTTATTAGATAGAACTGTTGTACATAGAAAGTAGACAGTAATGCAAAGTTAGCGTATGCCATGTGGTTTGTCCAGTGCTATAGCTTTTTTTTAATTTGTTATTTATTTATTATTATTTATTAATTTAAAAATAATGGGTTGCCTAAGTAGTAGACAACAAGCATGTTTGCATGTCCTCACTAACCATCATTACATTTTCATTGAATATCAAACAAATAAAAAGTGCAATTAATACCAAAATGTTGCTGCTAATATAATCATATGTTGGTCTACTTTAACTAAAATATACATATATATATATATATAAAAAAAAATTTATTATATATGAAATTGCAATATTTACACACGTCCTCCAGTTTGTTTTCAACCCCGTCACGATATACTATTTACCCCCCTATAAAAATAATGGATCAAGCCCTGTGGCATCTCATCCAGGAAGTGACATCACACAAGTCTCTTAAAGAACATGCTGCAAAGAAAGGCAAGTGTCAGTATCTTTTCTTACCTATATTTCATGTTTTTCGCTGTCAGATTAAGATTGTCAGGCTCAACATTTCAACTCTGCTCTATGACTAAATGATAGTAAACAACGGTTTAAGAAGAATTAAATAATAGTTTTGCAAAACATTACAATTTTATGATGTCCTAAATGCCATGTGGTGCTATGTCTTAGCTAAGTAAGGAGTTATGGCTATATTAGCCAAAAACTTCAACCCAGTCACATTCAACCCTGTCACATTTTTATTATAACAGGGTTGAATCGTTGTGACAGGGTTGAATGTTTGACACTTCTTAGTAGATTACTCAATTGTAGACTTGTTGTATTGTGATGTGAACTGTCAGAAATAATCGATTATGCTATTTTATTTTCAGACATCGCAATGGCAAAAACAGCGGCAGAGAGGCAAAGACAGTACAGAGCAAGAAGGGATGCAGACGCAGAGAGAAGGGAAAAATATCTTAGGAGTGAGCGTGAAAGGTGGAAAAGGGACACAGAGGCAGGGAAAAAGAAAAAATAAGCCGTAATAAATAATAAATAAATCCATTCTATATTGAAATAATGATCATCACTTCAACCCTGTTATCATTTCCAACCCCATTATGCTGAGTTCAACCCTGTTATTTGATAGTTTTTATTCATATTTTCGTGATGAGAAGACAAATTAGGTCAATGTTTGTTTTGCTGTGTGTAGAATTTTCCGGACAGTCGGAAAAAATGCGAAAGCCTGATTAAATCCTAATGTTAATGCATATTTTGTGATAAGATATGAAGTCCAATGTTAGATCAAGTTTTCATGAGCTGATTTGGTACTCAAATGGTGAGTATTTAAAAATAAAATTCTACACGCAATAAATGATATCAAACAGGGAACATCTCATTGAAAAGCTTCTACAAGAATTTACTTGAAAATCTTTTTAAATCATATTTAAACAGGGTCCAAGTGGTCTGTGACGGGTTTGAACTTCAAAACAACTTTCAGTAAGAAAAAACACTCAATATCGATTAGAATTTCATGCCTGAGGTGGGAAAATGCATTTTCTTAAAGGTTTGACTAATCCACTATCACATGAAATGATCAGAAATATAACTATTTGAGGTATATATAAAAAAAAAGGTATGACCCAAAAGGCACCCCAGAGAATCACCCAATTACTGGATTAAAAATATTTGTGATATTTGCCTCATCCAAAAAATCAGGGTGATCCAACTGTCCGGATATCACCTGAAAAAAAGAAAGAAAGAATAAACCCGAATGGTTTGGCTTAAGTTTTGGCATTTTATGCAAAGTTAATTTTAATTCATGAATATTTTATCTAATTTTATCATTGAAAGACTGGTCAGCCAAGACAGGGAGTTCGTTGTAGTTCTTGAAAAGTGGATTCTGTTCAATAAAATATCTCCCTTTGAAGGGGACTTTGAGCTTTACCCTTGGAGATCTTTTTTTATGCTCAAACAGCAACACATTTGAAAAAGTGGGAGAGCTAGTCCCCTTTAAACAAATACCGGTATCTACTTTTTCTTCACAAAACGACATACTTTGAGGACATGCTTGCCATGCTATACATAGTCGAATTTAAAAGCATCATTTTTAGGTCATCCTCAGTCGTGTTGGTATCATTCCAGTTCGACTCGCGATTTAGTTCAAAGGAACCGATTCGGTGATTCGTCTTCACGAATCAAACATCACTAAAAGAACAAACAGTCCGTGCGTTAGACCGGTGAGCTGAATGAAATGAGGTGAGGAAACGGCATGTGTTAATATACATTATGTCTGGTGTTTTTGTGTTATTCGCATCTATGTAAAAATAGTATCTGTTTACGTTTTTATGTGCATGTAATGTTGGCTAATAATGTAACGTTAGTGACTTGCTTTGAGCAGTGGATTAGCTGATGAGCTAGTTAGCAGCAAAGCTAATGCTATAAAAAAATAAACCAAGCTTGGCAAAGATATCCTATCGCAATACTGATTTATTTATCAATTTAAATGTTAAAGCACCATTGTAGTGCAGTTTTGCGAGACAAAAAAAAAAAAAAAAAAGCTAAGTTGCATCTCGGCAACCTTCATGTACTTTTAATGCAATGATTTGAGATAGATTTGATTTTGATATATATATATATATATATATATATATATACACACTACTTACCATGCATGAGGAAAGTACCCGTATAGGTATGAATCTGCTATTAATATTCTTACACATGTTTGATCCGTTCATGCCATTATTGATGATGTTGTCATGAAAAGATCATGTGGTCATGATTCACAGTTTAATGGAGGATTTAAACAGTCCTGGACAATCTGTTGATGGTGACATTTTGTCTATTGAAAAATAATTTGTGACATGTTATCAATATGAGATGACTTAAATTTAAATTTGAGAAGAAAATCTATAAGCGCACTGAAACTGTTTACTCTCATCTGCCCTTAGTCAAGTCAGAACTGTCAAAGCATCATAACTATTAGCCTAAACACTGTCTCATCAGCAAGGGCGCGTGCTTTAATTTGTGTGTGCTTGTGTCTTCCAGCAGATCAGGTTTCTGACCCCTCCATGGAAGAGGCCAGCGATGAGGGGCTTTTACTCAAAGCTGGATACCTCATCTTTGGGCATGTCGGTGCCTCTGAACCTGGCCGTGGAGACTGAGAAAGCTCAGGCCCTGCTCCAGACCTTCAGCACTGCCTCTCTGTTAGCCAGCGCAGGCCTGGGCGCTTTCTCCTTCCTCGTCGACCACTTTCTGACGCTCCCCTTCATCCAACACCATCTGTGGCTCAGGGCTGTCCTTGATAACGCCGTCCATGGCATCATCGGACTCTGGTCCTGGGCCATCGTGATTGGGTTGAGGAAGAAAAGTGACTTGTATGAAGTCGTCTTGGCTGGGTTTCTGGCCTCTATCATTGACCTGGACCACTTCTACATGGCTGGATCGTTGTCGCTCAAAGTGAGACCTATTTGTGTCTTATATTAGCATCTGAAAACTGATATATATATATATATATATATATTTTTCAACTTGTACTGAAACAGTAATTACTTACACTGATTCCTAAATATTTGGTTAGGTGCGTGTGTCCTTAATTTTTGTGGGGAAAAGTGTGGGATGGACAAACATGAATCGCGATACAGCCTAATGCGCTTATTAAACTTCAAAAGACTATGATTTCATGAAATAAATATGAGCGCTGCACCCTTCAGAGTAAACGCTTGTAAATTTCTCTTTGTGTCCCTTTATTAAGGAAAACACATTAATTGATACATTTATATTGTGCCACTAAAGTTTTCTTTTAATCCGTTCCTAAATATTTCATCTTAGGAGCATTTGATCCCTGGGCACAAAAACTAAGCGTCAAGCCCTGTTATTAATAATATTATAATCATAATTGGAATGAACAATTCTTCTGGCAAGTACAATAATTTATTATCCTGACCATAATCTGTATACGGTTTGCCTAGAAACATAGCAGCTTTGTTCATTAATATAAAAATTTGTTTTATTAATTTTAGAGTCTCTTATGCTAAATTTATACAGAAAAGTTGGCACAGAAGTGTTTCTGTAGTGGCCTTTAGGTGTCTTTGCATAGACTGTCTAATGCTGCTCAAAGGAGCCATACACACTTACATTACAACTATATTTTTTGATAATATTATGATTTAGTCTGGCTTTTGTGGCATTTTGTCTTTACACTGAATTTTGAGCAGACATAGAGCAGCCTTAAAGGGTTAGTTCGCCCAAAAATTAAAAATATTGTCATTAATTACTCGTATTCATTCCAAACCTGAAAGACTTTTGTTCATCTTCGGAACACAAATGAAAATCTTTTTGATGAAATCTGAAAGATTTCTGTCCCTCCATTGACAGCTACGCTACTACCAAAAGCTACACTAGGTTCAAAAAGAGATCGTACAAATCCATAGGAATTGAGCGGTTTAGTCCAAATTTCCTGAAGAGACTCGATCGCTTTATATGATGAACAGATTGAATTTAGACTTTTATTCACATATAAACATTCATCAACTCGCACATCAGTTATGGTAAAGGGAAGCTCAAGCATGTTCGCTAGACGTCCAAGAACCAATGAGGTCCGTTCTCGTGTTACGCAGCATGTTTGAGCTTTTGCAAGAACCAATGAGGTCCGTTCTCGTGTTACGTAGGGTTGGACGTATCGTTTGGGCTGGTGCCAAATCTATACTTTTAAAACGGTAACGAGCCTGAACCGATACTTTCAGGCACGTCCGGCACAAAACGATGGTGGATGACATTAAAGAACGGCTTTTTTAAATTGAAAATAGATTCTTTAAATTGAACAATATATTAAAAGTTTAAAGTATACTTAAATCTATAGTTATAAGTAAATACAAAACACACATTTACTTAAATTCACAATAAAAACCCAGCTAACACGCCTAACCCAGAAATTTCAGCAATTCTTTTGCAGAAATATGACCAATTTTGCCTTCTCTGGCAAAATACGACACCTCTCCTGAATTATTGCTTGTCCTGCACAGGAGAAAACCCTCTCGGATGGTGTCGATGAGGCCTGTACACACAGCTATGTGTTTGAAAGTGCAGACAATATGTGGAGGCTGTCCCGCTTCCCCCACCACCAGGCTACAGGGTCGTGTCCTGATGGGATTAAAGGCAGACTTGTGTAGATCTCAATCTCCTTCTGGACCTGTTCAGCTATGGAGAGGGCGCCACTTTTAGTGGTCGTTGCCTGAAGTAGCTCTCGGTCCTCATCCTCAAACAGCTCTTCTAGGGCTGACATACAAGTAGTGTTTAGACAAATAGCCTTTTTAAATAGCCTATTCCAAGATAATGAACTTACACGTTCCTCTGCCTTGACGTCCTCATGGTCATCCGATCCTCCTTCCTTAATGTCTTGAAGGCCCTCCATTGTAAGCTGTAGAAATAATATTGCACATATAAACAGCAACACTTCATCATAGAAACTGTAACATGGCACAGATGGGAAACAACGCTGAGCATAAAATACCTGTTTTGTTACTCCAACCGGCCCCAAGCGTCATTCAAGTTTGCCTCTGAAGCGAGGGTATATTAAAGTGGCCTCCTGGAGGAAGTTCTGGATGTCTTCATCCTGTAATAAAAACATGACAAACTATTTAGTGTCTAACAGTTAAAATGATGTGATTTGCCACCTTTCTTTTTAAGCTTAAGCTCTTAATGGAAATAGAAAATGCTTGATATTGTTTTTCCAGATCTCCCCAGACCTTCTGTTTCAAAGCACTGGTAAACCATGTCCTCTTCAGCCACTGTGAAATGTGCCTCAGCTCAGTCCGTATGGGGAGAATTTGGCAACATGTGGGGGACTAGAGGGTTGAGGTGTACAACAACTTCATGATTTTAACAAAATCATCTGCTTTCTGGAAGTCGTGATCTGTGCCTTTCCAGTCTGGGGGAAAAAGATGTGAAGATAAGACTATCAACTATTATGTTCTTGCTCATTGTTTCACAACTGATCTTCTTGTCTAGCACTTGTCTTTCTCCATTGGCTTCCTAAGTCGTTGGTCAAGTGATGATGGCTGGTTGATTTCCACCTTGTTCTGTCATTGGTTCTGGCAGATCTGAAACGCAAATGCACATTTTGAATTACAATCTACTGAAGATGTTTGAAACAAACACAATTTTGTTAGATTTTGCTGCTTCTCCCGCAGGACGGTCTTAGCCATGGAGGACCTCTTCAGCCACACCACGATAGCTTGGAGTCTGGCACACCACTGATGCTGCCAGGTTATGGGATGGGCAAAGCACTAAACCTTTAAAAGCTTCTAAATCTTCAGTGCAACATCCATATTGCTGGCGTTGTCTACTGTAGCAGCTACGACATTTGTGTGTATCTGGAATTTCTCTAGAATGCAATTTATCTCGTCTGCCACCAGGAGGCCTGTCTGTGACTCATGCACAGCTTTGTTGTCTAGCACCTTCTGCTTAATGTGGCTATCACTGGTGTAGTGCACCGTAACTGTTAAATGGTGGACCTCTGCCACTTGAAGCAAGAACCCATGATGTTCATTCTCGTGTTACGCAGCACGTTTGAGCTTCAGCAAGAACCAATGAGGTTCATTCTCGTGTTACGCAGCTCGTTTGAGCTTCTGCAAGAACCAATGAGGATCATTCTCGTGTTACGCAGCACGTTTGAGCTTCAGCAAGAACCAATGAGGTTCATTCTCGTGTTACGCAGCACGTTTGAGCTTCTGCAAGAACCAATGAGGATCATTCTCGTGTTACGCAGCACGTTTGAGCTTCAGCAAGAACCAATGAGGTTCATTCTCGTGTTACGCAGCTCGTTTGAGCTTCTGCAAGAACCAATGAGGATCATTCTCGTGTTACGCAGCTCGTTTGAGCTTCTGCAAGAACCAATGAGGATCATTCTCGTGTTACGCAGCTCGTTTGAGCTTCAGCAAGAACCCATGATGTTCATTCTCGTGTTACGCAGCACGTTTGAGCTTCTGCAAGAACCAATGAGGATCATTCTCGTGTTACGCAGCACGTTTGAGCTTCAGCAAGAACCCATGATGTTCATTCTCGTGTTGCGCAGCTCGTTTGAGCTTCAGCAAGAACCAATGAGGTTCATTCTCGTGTTACGCAGCTCGTTTGAGCTTCAGCAAGAACCAATGAGGTTCATTCTCGTGTTACGCAGCACGTTTGAGCTTCAGCAGGAACCAATGAGGTTCATTCTCGTGTTACGCAGCTCGTTTGAGCTTCTGCAAGAACCAATGAGGATCATTCTCGTGTTACGCAGCTCGTTTGAGCTTCAGCAAGAACCAATGAGGTTCATTCTCGTGTTACGCAGCACGTTTGAGCTTCTGCAAGAACCAATGAGGATCATTCTCGTGTTACGCAGCACGTTTGAGCTTCAGCAGGAACCAATGAGGTTCATTCTAGTGTTACGCAGCACGTTTGAGCTTCTGCAAGAACCAATGAGGTTCATTCTCGTGTTACGCAGCTCGTTTGAGCTTCAGCAGGAACCAATGAGGTTCATTCTAGTGTTACGCAGCACGTTTGAGCTTCTGCAAGAACCAATGAGGTTCATTCTCGTGTTACGCAGCACGTTTGAGCTTCTGCAAGAACCAATGAGGTTCATTCTCGTGTTACGCAGCACGTTTGAGCTTCTGCAAGAACCAATGAGGATCATTCTCGTGTTACGCAGCACGTTTGAGCTTCTGCAAGAACCAATGAGGATCATTCTCGTGTTACGCAGCTCGTTTGAGCTTCAGCAGGAACCAATGAGGTTCATTCTAGTGTTATGCAGCACGTTTGAGCTTCTGCAAGAACCAATGAGGTTCATTCTCGTGTTACGCAGCACGTTTGAGCTTCTGCAAGAACCAATGAGGATCATTCTCGTGTTACGCAGCTCGTTTGAGCTTCAGCAAGAACCAATGAGGATCATTCTCGTGTTACGCAGCTCGTTTGAGCTTCAGCAGGAACCAATGAGGTTCATTCTAGTGTTATGCAGCACGTTTGAGCTTCTGCAAGAACCAATGAGGTTCATTCTCGTGTTACGCAGCACCTTTGAGCTTCAGAAAGAACCAATGAGGTTTGTTCTCGCGCGTCAAGCATGTTCGGTTGAGCTTTTGTTTGTTCGCTGATCAATGATTAAATGTGAATAAAAGCCTAAATTAAATCTGTTCATCATATAAAGCGATCAAGTCTCTTCAGAAAATGTGGACTAAACCGCTCAATTCATATGGATTCATTTTAGATGTCTTTATGAAACTTTTGAAGTCAAAGTGGCAGTTGCGTAGCTGCCAATAGAGGGACAGAAAGCTCTCAGATTGTATCAAAAAGATTCTTATTTGTTTTCCAAAGATGAACGAGAGTCTTAAGGGTTTTGGAACGACATGAAGGTGAGCAATTAATGACAGAAATTAAATTTTTGGGTGAACTAACCCTTTAACTGTGTAAATATGACTTTATGGTGGTGTAAATGTCCAATACCATATTTGAAAGATTTCAGGCTACATCTTAAGTTTATTTATTTAATTTTTTTAGCATTTTTATTTAGATTTTCTTTTAAATATAGATATATTAATATATTTAAAGATGACTAAGTGTCCACTGAGTTAAAAAAATTACTTCAATTTCATTTTTTAAATAAATGTGCATCTGGATTTGACCAGATTAATCACTTTTGCTCACGGGATGAAATGATCACAGGTGACGACTGCAATTACCCCATTTCTACAGTGACATCAGTTATGTAAAACGTTTGCTGCATTTTCACTGCAAGTGCTGCAATTGAAACAAAAACCCAGACCGTCGTTCCGACCGTAAGCTTGTGTTGTTCCTCTCCCCCAGGCTGCTGTGAATCTGCCGCACAGGCCTCCTCTGCACTGCTCCAGCCTGATCCCAGCGCTGTGCGTGTCGCTGCGCCTCCTCATGTGGGCCTGTCGGCTCAAGGACTCCTGGTGTTCCCTGCCCTGGATGCTGTTCATCTCGCTGACGTCACACCACATCCGCGACGGCGTCCGCCACGGCCTCTGGGTGTTTCCGTTCGGCAACACGGCGCCCATCTCCTATTGGCTGTACGTCACCATCACAGCCACCCTCCCTCACCTGTGCTCTGTGCTCATGTATCTGACCGGCACGAGAGACATGATCTCCACCAAACACGGAGTCGCCATAGACGTCTGACACACTGTCTTAATTGTGGATGTTTGTTCGTTTATGTTTCCCAGCACAAACATGGCACTGGAAATATTTCCATCAGCTCTTCTCTCTGCATCTTCGCCATTCCAGCACTATTTGTCCTTTTTCCTTCAGAGATTTCCAGTCTGTTTGATACTTTTAACTACTGTAGTTGTTCAGGTATCAGTGTGAAATCAGGTTGCATTGACTGAAGACTGTGAATATTTTAATATGTGAGGTTTAGCGTTGGGCGAAGTTAAATTCTAGATCTATTTTGCAGCATTTTTAGTACAATATTTCCTATAAAAAATCGATCTCAGAGCAAATAGAGAAGTGACATTAAGAAATTTTGCATGTTTTTGACCAATTAATTCAATAATTTCATGTGTATCTATATATACACACAGTAGTCAACATTTGAAGTGGATCAAAGCCTTTCACCAAAGTTATACATGAATTTTGAACAATACCCGTTCTTGTCTTAGGAGAACTTTTTTGATCCACTTCAAATGTTTGCTACTGGTACTCTGATATTTTTTTTTTCATAGAAAAGATGGTCAAAAGGCTTCAAAATACAGACTATTTTGAATGGATTATTTCTATGTTTGCTCTACATTTGTTCTGATCTGGATCCAGATTCTCATAGTTATAGTAGTAGATAATATTTAATGTTAGTTAATATTTAACAATTGATTAATTTTAGCCAATATAACAATAGTAATACAACATTTACCCACATACTGTATATTAAGACACCACCCAAAGGCTTCAGTGAGCGATTTGAGTGATAATGCAAACAATTTGCTGATTTATAGTTTTGAATCAACTTTGGCAAAATTAAAAGGCCTATTAGAGTCGCTTTCAAAACAAGCAGCTTTCCGTTGGACAATTTGGCAAATCCATATGACTAACTTGAACGCTTTGGGAAATCTTTCAGCCTCGTGCAATTCCCGACCACTTGGATTTCTATTAATGCCCATGATGCTACTAAGATTAAAAGTTGTAATGTTATTAATGCTAATGAGAAAATGAATAACTTAATGGCTAAATAAAAAGTGCTTTTAAATCTAGTGCGATTAATTAAAGTTGGTAGCGGAATCATTGTGAATATTCGATATCGTCGCCCAGCCCTAGTGTAGATGGTCAGGACGCACCTTTATAACCCTTATTTGAAAGCTTCAGCATCGTGTTGTTCATATTTAGCTTAGATTTGTCTATTCAAACAATGCCATTTTATTGCACTGATTTTGCAGAGGCCGGATTCACACTCGACTCACGATGTGTCATGCGTCCAGGAATAGGCATTGGGAATGGATGTGTGTTGATGGTCTCAGTGCTTGTGCGAGGTGATTCGGTGTTGTGTATTTGCAGTTGAAGGTCACTGTAGGCGTACTTGAAGGACGTGTTTCTCTCTGTAGTGATAGAAAAACACTGTTAACATGGAAAACTCCTTAAGGAATCGGATAACCTTTTAAAACAGTACAGAAATACTTTCTGTTGCTACTGAAGATTATTGCTGCCTTTTTAGCCACAGGCTTCGGAATAACTGTAAATACTTGCCAACTTGGGTTTTATTTCCGAACCACTTGGAACTTTTAAATGATTAAATTAGAGCAGATATTAACCGTCCTTGTATACAAACTGCAATTCTGCTTCTTGGCGATTAATCCAGCTCCACCGGTTCATTTTGGTTTTATTCAGTTGTTGTTTTAATACTTCAAAATCGATGTGAAGTGCAAACGTGTTCCTGAAAGCTTCAGATCTCGGGACTAAATGCTCACCTCTGCTTTTTTCCAGGTCAAATTATGAATCGGACATTGTTCAATATTAGCGTTTACAGTAAAGTGCATTGTTGCAGTTGGCATTGTGTATGTATAATTTTTATTTAAAAAATTTTTGGTAAACTTTGTTCTTAATATTTTTAATAGCGTACTAGGGTTATGTTGTGCCCAAAAATATTGAATCAATAATTTAATCTTCTGTCACATTTTGTCTATATTCACTGCACCCATTTCAAACAATTAATTTCCAATAAATGGACACTGTTTGTATTCGTCTGCTAAACTAATTCTCTCTCATCAAGATGTTAAATATTTTAAGATTTTTGAAAATGTCCGTTCAAACTTTTGTGTGAGTGTGTGTGTGTGTGAAATGCTGAGTTGATTTAAATGGACCAGGAAACACATTTATTATTGTTGTCAAAACAGGTGATTGGCTTTGAGTAACAGCAGTGTACTGATATGCTTATTTTGATAAGTAGTGATAGTATTGCACATTTATTTATTATGGTATTAAGGGTAACAATGTTTAAATAATATTTTTGGTTTGACTGCTTCAGTTGTCAAGGCCTTTTCAACCCCGCAGAGGGAGCTGTAGACCAACTCCACACAATGTGTTTTGTTCCTTTGTTTTAATTTTCTGTTTTTTTTGTTAACTATGTAAGTGGTGTAAATATTTATTTTATTTATATGCTTTTTTGCACTTAATAGAGATTTGTCAATAATGTGGTGTTGATGCATTGTCAAGAAATTACTGAAAGCATTATTTCTGTCACCAGGCACACTAAAGGTGCATTTGCACTCTTCTGTAGTAATTGGTTTCGGTCTTTATTTGTTGCTTCTGAAGCCTTTGGTTTTGAACAGCCATAATGAGGCTTAATTTGACATGCTTAGAAATGCTGTTGTCTTCTCAGGCATTTGTTTAAGAAAATCAAAGGTCACGGTTGAGTCAAGATAATAGTAGGGTAAGTTTGGAAAAGGTGCCACATTTAAAAACAGTGTGTGTTTACTGGTAAATTGTAACGGTTCGAGATGAGTTCAGCATGTACAGGATGGTGATGCATCGCATCGTCCAATATGTTATTAAAGGGATAGTTTATCCAGAGAGAAAAGTGCTAGTTTATCCAGAGAGAAAAGTGCTGTCTTCATTTACTCACTCCCATGTACTTCCAAACCTGTATGATTTTCTGTGAAACACTAAGATATTTTCAGTGCTAAACATTGGTGAGTAGGGTGAGGAAATGATGACAGAACAGAAGTTAAATTTTTGGGTGAACTATCCCTTTAAAAAAATTCAAATGGCAATAAACTATTAATTCATATTGAATTGTTCTGCTTAATCAACCTACGGTATAGGTTGTTATGAATAACGATGTTTGAAATATTATTCAGGGACTTGCAATTATTACTAAAATAATGAACACTGTGACAGCATCTAAATATGTCCACACTATTATACTTTTTCAAATATTCCCTTTCATGTAGTGGGTACTATACCTGTTTGTGAATGTAAAAGATCAAGGTGCAGGTAAATGGAGTTATTGTGTCCTAAAAAAACCCGATTCTGAATTGTCTGTAATAGAGTCGTCAGTAATTCCAGTCTTACTCCTTGCTCGAATCTATGTAGGTTTGTAACAAATTTGCATAAAGCTTCTTCACTGGCTCCCTACGAACAACTTTTTTCTTTGACCTACCCTCAAATGCTGTAGCTTTAGCTGGGACTGGAAGAGTTAGGTTTGCGTTGTCGACATGTCAACCAATGGATGAGGACTTTCTCGAATTGATACAGCAAAACCGACACCATTGTTACTGTTCATACCAGTGTGTATCAAACGCTGAGGAAGATCCGGAGCTGAAATTCAAATGGGCGTTTGGTTGTAAGTGATAGACCAATCACAACAGACCGGGTCATCTGACCAATCAGAGCAGAGTAGACCAATCATAACCAACCACGTCATCTGACCAATCAGAGCAGAGTAAACTCTCGGAAAGGGTTTACTGAATCCATGATTGGCCCGTTTCAGACACTGAGAAAAGATAATGTATATTCTATATAATTACATATTGTATATATATATATATATATATATATATATATATATATATATTGTATATACATATTGTATGTATTGTATATATGTATAAGATAATGTATATTATGAGAAAAAATATTATTTTCTGACCTTGGTTGCAAAACAAAATTAGGAACCTTTTTAAAATCTTTATTCTGAACATTAAAATCGGTGACAATTTTATGTTATAGTACCCCTAGTAATAATCAAAGCCATTCAATAAATGTGTCGCGAGGAATAATCATGAGGTAAAAATTGCTATTTGTAAAACTATTGCTATTGACATTATTTAAAACACCAAATCAAGGTCTTAATATGCAGCATAAATGATCCAGAAGAATATGTAAATATTAGGACTATATGATTTAAAGTCAGTATAACATGTAAATCCCAACAGACTACAAATCGCCACACTCAAATATTGGAGGTATATTATTTTACCAAATCCTTGGCCGAGTAATAGCAGGCTAATTTTCCTGTATAAACTCAATGAGCAACTAAATCCCTTGCCTGATTTCCATGATTAAATATTTGTAAATTGGTTGGAAGTGAATCGCTGAATTTTCCCGTGGAAACAAACTGACAGTATCAGTGAAAAGATCTGACTACAGTTGTTCTTAACTTCACGTAAGAAAATCATACACACTTTTTCTTCACATAAAATAACTTTTATTTCACAAAAATATAAACAGGGGAATAATAAAACAGCTTATGTTGTACAGAAAAATATATTATATACATTTACTGTGGACGCCTTTGTGTTCACCTTTCCCTCTTTAACAGGCAACAGTAGTCCATCCCAATACATCTGGATTTGACCATGCATGCAACATTATAAAAAAAGCAAAGAGCAAACGGGAAATATACATATTTTTCTCCAAGAGCCTGTCCTGCTTGAAGTATATTCTCTCCATCCTGCCAGGAACAGAGGATTTCTCATCGATCGGCTTTGTTTCCTTTGGCATGGTGTTTCTGGAATCGCGAATCGAGAGGTTGAACTCCTCAGATGCGAGACTCGATGGTCAGTGTGGAGTGACTATAACTGCACGCCAGGCCAATAACACGCCATTAATGAGTCACTTTACAGACGCAGTTATACGATATAGAGGTCTAAAAATAAACAGAAATCTGATATTTTTACTTTAGGCCTACTGAAGTGATTCTCAACTGGTCACGACCCACACAATGCCGAATGCAAAAAATAGCTGCAACAAAACCATACGGATATCGATTGCAATCAATTGGTGTTTTAGTGAAAATCCGCACACTAGCAAAATTAGACGGACATAAAATTGAGGCGGGAACATTAATGCGACCCAGACTACATTAAATATGTATTTGCAATGAGGATAAACATAATTTGTGGGGCTCATTTGAATGGCTCCCGAGAGCACAGAAATGTTTATATTTAGTGTGTTGTTGGGCATGTGCAGTTTTATAGTTATATTAATACATTTCAATGTTTGATTTGAATCGTTTTTTGTTTGCTTTGTATGATTAACAATTTGTTACTGCAACCAGTTGAGAACCACCGATTTTACTGAATGTTGATAATAATTAAATTGAATAACACTAACCAAATCTATGTGCTCAACATGCGAGACAACTTCAACCAAAGCAGGGAAGGAAGAAAATATGACCGACTAAACGTTAAACCAAGAGGTTGTCTAGTCTCAAATATGAATGACTGACAAAACCAAACCCCTTTTTCTTTTTCTTTTTTACATATCTGCTTTTTTGCATTGGAAAATATTTTATCAAAATCTATTTTAAAGGGTATATCATAACAGCACAGATCCCATAAGTCAGTAAAAGCTCTAAAAATACACAAATCATCTTGCTGGTGGAAAGGAAACAGAAAGGAACATGAATGCAGAGCAGGCGCGTCGTTAGACATGGGCATTCGGGGCTTCAGCCCCGGATGTTTTTTTTTTAGCCCCGGATCTCAAATTAATTTATTGATAATTATTATTATTTTTTAATAATTTTGTATATATTAAAAAAAAATGACCGGGTCTTTTAATCTATCCTTCGGAATCATGTATTAAAGACGATTAAAATGTGTTCAAGCAGATCAAAGTTACTATGGTTACTATAGTTATAGCACGCTTGCATTTAGAGTGCGCACCAGAGGAGAGAGAAAGAGCCATCAGTTAACTTACACCTTTAGGGCTTGACTGTCATTGTTGTTTGTGGCTTCTGGTGGTAGCTATTATGGACATTAGCGGGGGAAGGTATACTATATACTATATGAAGACTATAGTATAATGTGAGATAGAAATAAAAATTTAAGTCGTTAAATTCAAGATCACGTAAACGTTTCCCTCCGCTGCGGCTGTCAGTCATTCTCCATTCAGCATCAAACAGCGCGTTGCGTTTGGTTACTTACGACAGTCAACGATGAAACTCTCTCCAAGAGGATTCAATGTTACTATTATTATACTTTATCGGACGGTAGATAAAGCTATATGGTTTCGCATAAAATGACTATCTTGCTGGACTGTATTGCTGTACCTTAATATTTGTTTCTACCGTGTGTCTGTTAGATCACAACACTGGAGAGCACTATAATTGTTCTTCACGCGCACATTAACTGAAATTTAAAACTGTAAAGAAAAGGCTCAATAAACTATCGCATAGATAGATACTGTTACTGTATAATACACTATGCATCGATATGCCTTTCCTTTGTGCTTTGAACTTTTCTGCGCGCTGTGACTCTGTGTTGCTTCAAGCGCATCATTCTGCGCTCGGGATGCGCATTAGCGCTGTGTGCCGCACATGAGTCTTTCATAATTATATCATAATACTTTTGCGCAATGAAAGATTATTAATAGCTTTTTTTGTTCTGTTCTGTCCTATCTATCATATGTTGCTGCCTCATTAAACAGCTGTGCTATACATTTAAAAATGTCTTAATTTTATAGTAGACTATATATAATAATTGATCTTTCTGATTTTTATCTTGTTTTTCATGAATGTATTTTACAACAATACAAAGAGCAATGTGTAACGTTTTACCTGATTTAGTGCTACACTTATTGTCTCTTTGTTCCCCACTAAATAATGTTTTTTTCACTAAATGTTCAGATTTTATACAATTAGGCCTATTGTTTTTCAATTATTGAGTTATCCACTAATCTAGTTTATAATATAATTTGTCATAAGTTATGATCATATTTTTTTTTTTGATTTGTTGTTTTTATTTATAATGAAGTTGTCTGTATTAAGTAGATTGTGTTTAACACACAAAAGAGTGATTATCAGTTCAACGCAGAGTTATAGAAATTCTACTTGATTTAAAAAAAACTGCGCTGGTATTGGACCGGTATCGGTTGATACTCCGAATTTTTGGTATCGGATTGGATCGGTTCAGAAAAAATGATATCGGGACATCCCTAATATTTTCTGGTAGGCTATATCTAAGTTACCCAGGAGCTCTGTTCACATTAGCTTGATGAATTGAGTCGTTGAACACAGCAGGAGAGAACGCAACGTTAGCCAGCTAGCTAAAGCTCTGGAAAATTAATAGCTAACACTACGGAGGCCATAATATTTTTGACTCATGGCTGAAGTTAAGTTTCTCCAGCTCTCCAGGTTGGCAAAAAAATGCATCTCAAAATGCATCAGATTGATGCTTTAAAATACGGAATATTTAAAATTTTCTTACGGGGGAGCATGCCCCCGGACCCCCCTAGAGGGGTAATAACCTTCTCAACTTTTGAGTGGGGACTGGGCTAAGCCCCCAATGTATCAAGACCCTAGCAACGCCCCTGATGCAGAGGTTACAAGCAAATGGTGCAAAAATAGATATGTAAAAAAAAAAAACATCTGGCAAACTTCTTCAGTCAATATTTATGCCAGGTTTAGACTTAGATATTTCTGTCTGTTATGATAGTCACTGTGTCAGATTATACGATGTTCCTAAATTCTTGTCGTGTCGTGGTCAGACTGCACATTGCTTCCCAACCAACCATCGCCTGTCGGTTTTAGCAACTTGTGTGATGTCGTTGAGGTGGAACTAGCGACTGACTTCTGGAAACAAGAGCGTAAACAATGGCCACCGTTAGCTTAATGCTAATTCCAGAACTCACCCTGTTTCTGAAGTGGCGAACGCTAGCGGAGGCGCTTCAGAAACTGTGTGAGTTCTGGAATTAGCATTACGCTAACGCGCTGCCTTGAGGAAACATCCTAAAGGCAGGACTATTGTTGATATATAGTAGCATAATTAAACATGCTAGTCTTTGGCTGTGTCCGAAACCGTCCCCTATACCCTTAAATAGGGCACTATTTGAGGGAATGAGCCATTTGTAGTGGTGTCCGAAACAATAGTGTATGTTATCGAGTGCACTCATTCAATCCCATAATGCACCGCAATAACGAGTGTCCAACCAATGTACGCTCAACAGCTAGAGAATACCCATAATGCACTGTGAGAGTCGCAGTCTGTTGTCGTCCAATATGACACACTGTACGAGATGAAACGACCGATTCTTGTGTGTATGGCGCCCATTGTTGTTTATGAATCCCCACGACACACTACGTCAAACGGATCGAGCCAAAATCATGCACTCTGAACCCGGCGTTAAAAGAAATGATCACAGTGACATCTTAACAAATATTTTAAAAAATTGCCCTAGTTATTTTTTAATAGCATCAGAATAACATTTGGAGATAGTAACTTATACATACACAATAACCATTTTATGACTGTTTTTGGACAACGTTCATTATGTCTGTTATAGGAAGGATACGTACTGTATGCTAAAATCTTATAATTCAATAAAATCATACATTTTAAAAGAATTACAAAATAAACGCATGCATTGAGCTTTATGACACTGGAGAGCAATGTACAACATAGCAGTATGCTGTGCAGAAACTATTATACAGTATAACTGCATAAATGTATAACAAACAATATAACTTTATAGATGAGCTTCCATAGAATTTAATATCGCGGATATCTATTAGCTTCGACAGAAACAATCAGCTTTAATCACCTTACAAATGTGTATATGTGACATGGTAAGACTGATTTACATTCATGTCTCGATTCAACGCTTTTATAAAGGAAAGTCAGAAAAATGAAATGCATTCATTGCATTGAAGGTCCTTTTTTGGGGGGGGGGGGGGGGGTTGAACACCAGCTCACCGAAAGTTTCTAATCGTTACTGGCGTAAACTTTCAAAACATGAACTCATGATGAAATGCAGTTTTACGTGAGTTTATTACCGAGAACTTGAGGCTGGCTGGAAACTAACCAGACCAAAACAATCAACTGCAGATGCATCCACCTGTCATTAACTTTGTTTCTTGTGGAGAGATTTCGCAGGAAGAAAGACAAAGCCGTCTTTGTGTCGTCCATCGTCGGAGTGTCTTCCAAAGATAGCAGCTGTCTTAAGTTATACGGAGTGTCTTTTTCGCCAGACGAGTGAGTTTGAGGACTGAAACACTGACGAAGACACTTTCTCCATAATGCCCCGTATGCTGCTCACAAAGCCGAGCCTTTTCACAGCGTCCCCAGTGGAGAATATCGGGAAGAACGAATTACACAAAAATATGTTTTTCATTTGCCGTGAGCAGAAGAAAGCAAAGAGAGAAAGAAATCCTTGTGTTTTTCCATTGCGTTGTGCTACATTGTAGACTGTACATGTTCACAGTTGACGTCCCTCAGAGCTCTGCTGAGAGGAGAGGTGTATTGTGGGTAACGGAGTCTGTCAGCTGTGGTGGCAGTGGTGGTGGTTCCCTATACTGATGCCCTATGAGGGCTGACCTGGAGACGGACAACTTCTCAAATCTAGAGTTCAACGAGAAAAGTTCAAACATTTTAGAGTCTGATGAACAACAGTTCTGTGATAAAACACAATGTGTAATACATAAATCAATAAAAATACTGCTATAGACACTATACCGTTCAAAATGTTCAGGTCAGTTTATATATATCAAAGAAATTAATGCTTTTATTCAGCAAGCATTCATTGAATTGATCAAAAGTAATGATTTTTTAAAAATAAATCCAGTTTTTTTTAATGTATCACAAACAGCACATTAAACAGCACAACTGTTTTCACCGTTGATATTAATAAGAATTAATAGCTATTTTAAATTGTCATAATATTTCACAATACCGCTGTTTTTACTGTATTTTTAATCAAATAAATGCAGACTTTGTGAGTTTATGAAAGCTCATTTTTGCAATGGAATAAAAAAAAAAAAAAAAAAAAAAGGTAATTTTTACTTTTTATCTGAAAGAATTGCGAGAAACAAACTCGCAATTGTAAGAAAATTGTATTGACTTTTTTTATTGACCCACAATTCTGACTTTTATTTTCTCATATAAACTTGCATTTTTTGAGAGAAAAAGAGTCAGAATTGTCAGATATAAACTCGTACAGTTACGAGAGAAAAAGTCAGAATTGTGAAATAAAAAGTGGAAATTACTATTTTTATTTTATTTTATTTATAAGCTCCATTTAAGAGACTTCTTTCAAAAACAATAAAAAAAATGAATGACCCCAAACTTTTAATTGGTAGTGTATTTTGTTGTATGTTTTGAATTTACTTTGATATTTTATATTTTCTTAAAAATTCATAATTCATTTATCCACCCTCATATCTTTTAAAACATTTTTTACCATAAAAAATAAAATAAATAAATAACAGCATACAGATTGGAATGACATGAGAGTGAGTAAATAATGACATAATGCTAATTTTCATTGAAGTATTAATCATTACACCATGTGCGAGAGTTTGGAAGATTACAGGCTAATCTAGAGCAGACATTTCTCATATAAATCATCGTATTTAAATCTTTTCCCACTTGAGTCGCACATTTAGATCTGACGACGTATGAAAAGACGCAAAGTTCAAAGTGAAATATGCTGTTTATGTCTTAGTCTTCACTTTTTAGCAGTATTAATTTACAACTTTCAGAGCTCATTCAAACTAGCTATTACTGTAAATGGACCATGTACTACCTGCTCTATAATATGAATAAGCAAAGTTTTTGTCCTAATCAATAATGGCAAATGGAAATGTGTGGCCAATTTTGAGAGCATAATCACTTACTGTACTTACAGTACATCCGGCCTTATTCATAAAACACCAGCAGAACCAATTTATGTAAAAGATCATTCCTATGTAAATAGGAATTTCTATGATCTCTTTCAGTTTAATGTGATTTGACCAATCACTGAGCTCCGCCCCCTGATTCACGTTCAGATCGGATTGGTCCATTTCTACAATGCATTCACTATGATAATGTGAACTCTTTAGCTGCTATGGCCATTAATATGACATGAACTGACGTACTTTAAATGTAAGTTTCTCTCTTATGAACAACTTGGCTGAGATGTGATGCTAGAAAAATACAGAATCAGAGGTATTTGTCTTGACTTGTTTGTAAATTACAATCTCCAAACACATTTCTCGCACAAGTCCTGCGGTCTATCTGCAAACCACATTAAACGACAGTACAGAGAGAGAGAGAGAGAGAGAGAGAGAGAGAGAGAGCTATTTAAATGCAGCGGCTCAACAACAATAACATAAACAACACATAGAGCCCTTGTTGACGGAGATTTACTACCAATAAAACGGGTTAAGCTATTTTTTGTTCATTGCCGCAAAATACGAAAACATTGATTTGGTTATAACTATTTCAAGCACTGTAAGTTCAGGAGTGACTATTATATTCTGTAAACACCTGAAACTATAAATTAGGGGATTCACTCACACATTTATTATGTGCAGTGTGTATTTGGCGCTCCTTGAAGCAAAGGAAAAGACAAGAAGTAGTATAGTTGGTTTTGTTGACTGCATTTTTAACCGAGTTTGTTTTCTATGCAGTAAAAACGGAAGGCTGGAAGGCATGTGCACACACATGATATACTCCAAGCATCAACATAGTAACCATAAATGGATCGTTTAGCATGCAGTTTCTTCCAGGCTGTTTAAACCGAGATGGGCCAATCGCCAGAACTGCAGACGCAAGGAATGTACGAATGGAGACAGAAGTCTGAGCCAGCTTACTTCAGATCGGGATGGACTTCATCTTCACCATGGAAGTCAGTTCCTGTTTCTTCACATTGTCTTGTTTCCTTTGCCTCACCCTATGAAAGGAACAGTTAAGAGATCAATAAACGAATCGTCTTTTGTCATATAGCTGCAACCGATTTGTATGTATTTAGTTGCGAAATATAGATAAATGTAGCACAATTCTCACCATAGAAGCATGATGATAGTTAATAACACAGCCACCATGACCGCTGCAAACAGCCCCAGCAAAACCAACAGACCGAGGCTTCCGTTCGAGTGTAATGAATCTAAGGAAAAAACAAAACAAAACACATGAACAAAAAACACAACACAAAACACACAATGAAACACAACACAGACAAAAACAACACACAGACATAACACAAAACCAAACCAAACACAACACACAAAACATAAAATGAAACAACACAAAACAAAGAAAAACAAATACAAAACAACACCCAAAATAAAAGCAAACACACAAAACAAAAAACAAACAAATACGCGAAACAAAATTGTTTTTTGTTTTCACACAAAACGAAACAAAAACGCAACACAAAACAAAAAACAAACAAAACAACAAAAAACACAAAACATAAAACAAAACACAATGAACAAAATAAAAAACAAACACACAAAACTAAATGCAAAACAGAAAAACAAACAACAAAAAACAACGCACAAACATAAAACGAAACAAAAGACAACAAAATAAATAAATAAATAAAAAAACATACAAAACAAACACACAAAACAATACAAATTAAAAAAGAAATAAATAATAATAATTAAGTGAAAAAGAAAATTAGATAAATATTGATTTGCTGGGGGGGGGGGGGGGGGGGGGGGGTTGGGGGGGTCTCATAAATGCTACTGTGTATAGCATTTGTACAACTAATTAAAAAAAAAAAAAAAAAAAATTATAATTATAATAATAATGATTTCCTCCTTTTTTTTTAAAAAAAAAGTGATTTCATTTTAATAAAAATTTTTTTGCCTTAAAACTGCTGTCTACACCCATAAACTACATTATTATATTGCCATTTTTAGCAAAAAGGTCAAATATATTTACTTCCTTCCAGCCTTGAGCTGATTAATATGACTCTTGCAATTGTACAGCATGTAAACATGCTAGATGAGTAGTTATAATGAAACGGCCTGGAAACAGTTAGCTAATGAAGAGCCGAATGAGTCATGCTGGCGTCTGCCACGCATTACGGGAGCTTTGATTGGTCAAGGCCAGATGATGGGGGAAACTCCGCCCACCACAAACAAGACCAAACCATCTGGATAACATTTAGGGGGTGAACGAAAAACAAAAAAAAACAAAATCTGGCCAAGATCTCAAATACATCTGATACTTTGTTAATCTGTGAATGCGTATAAAATTCCCAGCCAAGACTTCTCAGTTACTGAGCAAAAATATTATTTATTGCAAAATGCATTTTTAACAAAATAAATAAAGCATATGGAGAATTAAAGTTTAAGGCAAATACCTGGGGACTTGCCTGTTGTCCTCACAAGAGATGACAAATTGTCAAATGGATAGATAAAATCTGGTTCCTCCGTTGGCTCTTCCCAAGGCTCTAAAATTGCAAAACAAATATAATTATATATATTTATACTACTTCTGAATTATTCATGACCAGCTCCCCTCAAAAGTCATGTCAGAATAAGTTTTCCTCAACCGTTTTCCACTGACGATCCCACGCTCATCATTTAATCTGCATTCATACAGTGGACAGCACACACACGTTTACTGTCCGAGGACAAACGCTATTAATGCTGGTACTTTTGCAGAGTACAGTAAGGCTGACACAGATAGACTGCTCCGTTTCAGCACACTGTGTTCTACACAGCAAACCACAAGACATGTGTCATCAGGAGATCTGCTGAACATCTAAATATCATTATCTTCCTTTATTAGATTTATCTGCCTTCGAACACAGTCTATTATCCTGATGAATAGCTGTGATATTATTTGATTTACACTATCATTGCATTAGTTATCTGAAGGATTTGATAGATGATGGGTAATATATGGTTTTGATTCATGCATATGCATCGTTTTGTGATTGGTTGTGTGGATAGAGTTAATTACACTGGAAAAAAAATAAGCAGCACATTTTACGGAAAATAACTACATTT